TAGCGATGACACAGATCATGGGTTTTGTCATGTCATTTGCTACCAATTAAACAGTGGCTGCGTAATTTAGGTTACCATGAAAATTGTCGCGGCCATATTTCAAGAAGGAAGGAGGCAGAAACGCACCGTTCATGCCATACGTGATCCTTCATCACTCGTGGAAATCAATTTATTCAAGCTGTAACGTGATTGAAGAATTCTGTTACTTCTCGGCAATCAGAGAGGCTTTTAATTCTCCAGTCTCTTTATGAGATATTGCTGCCATCTTTTTCCAACAGGCTTGCAGTTCTGTTGCACGGACATAGCAACACCCATGTTTTTGATGATTTTTTTTTCATTCCCATTCAAAAACCTTTCCATTCATAGTCATTTCTGAAGCGCATAAGAACTGAATTCCTGTCGTTCGTCACCCGTCGCTACGTTCGTCCAGTACACACTGCAAAAGGCTTGAAGGCAAAGTCGTTTGCTATGTTCATGTTCCTTGTACCCAACCTTTCGCGCTCTTTGTGCACTTCAAGGAATTCAGAAAGACTACAATACAACCCAACCAGCTGTACACCGTGCCGTCGGGACTGGTATTCATGACGCAAATATGTTGCGAGTGGTCTCGCAGTGTTCTGCCATTGTGCTTCGTTCCCTGTTCCGTGAGCTCAAGTTTGGTCGACACTTGGCGTCGTTGCCGCGCCATTGGTGTCGTGTTTCCCGTGTCTTTTCTTATACACAGTGTTCTACGAAGAAATGCCTCTGTGTAGCCGCTGGTGCCGAGGTCGCGGATTACGTTTTTGCTTCTTTCCTTCCGCAGCTGTGGTGACAATTGGTGGTTAGATTATCGGTTATTTCTTTACCTAATTTAGTTTTCTCGTTTAGCTAGTTTTCTGTATTCTAGCCCAAGAAAGGGGATCCAGATTTTTTTTCTGTCGTGGGAATGACCATAGGTATCTGCGTACATGGTTGCAACTCCACATTTCCAAGTTGTAAGACTCGGAGTGCCCTGCCGACGGCCCCTATTCTCTTTCTGCTCTAGCAGCCATGACTGTCACGTTCTTCCAAACCTTCTCCTCCTACCTACTTCTAAACTATTTTCTCCACTCTCCTTTTTCCCTTCAAGGGACTGAGCCGTGGTCTAGCAAGGAAAGATAGTGTCTTTTTCTCTTTCTTCAACCACACATTCATCCATTCAGGGGAAGCTTGCATGCAGTAACTGGTTTGGAAAGCAGGTAAGGTTCGCGGAAAGTCACCTCACCTACCCTGATTTGTTCCGGGTCTACGCTCTCGAGGTGCGCCAAAAGAGGCGACAACACGAAAGTCATACTTCGAATTCTTTAGGGCTGTTGGCTCCCCTCGTCAAAAACTCTTTGGACACGCCTGGCTGACTGATGGCCTAGGAAGAGCTGTCGGAAATCGAGGCAGCTTGATTTGTTCGACGTGCCACGAGACGCGCTGAATAATTAGCCGAGAGGTTGGGATTCATCGTCAGGTATGTTTCCCACACTTTGTGGTGCTTTCAAGTCTTGCACTCCCCCAGGCTCTAGCCTGCCTAGCGCTGCAGGCCCTATTCTGCACGTGCGATGCAACGTTATTGCACTGTGCTGTGTTGTGCGTATTATTGCATTCTGACCTACGTTGTGTTTCTCTCTCGCCGTGTGGCGAACTGAACGTGCATCCTTTGTATTTCCTGGGTAGAAAAGAAGGCAGTGTTTGGCTTTCTCTCTCTTTCTCCTTCTCGTTTTTTTTATCTTTATTCGCTGCGCCGTGCTCCCTGCTGGGCTGCAGAAATTAGGCGCCTTCTTCTAACCACTACCCCCACCATTTGGGGGACGGAGATGAAGACGGCAATTTCTTTGGACTGCCCTTGACTGAATGGAATTGCAGTCTGTCCGTTTACAGTGATATGCAAGGCGGCTTTCCTAAAGGTTTATTTTTTAACCAAAAACTCTAGTTCACAGACTGCTTTTCTCCCTCATTGTGCCTTTACCTTTTCGAATTCCAGCGAGTGCACGCGAGCACGCGAGTACAACAAAATGTCACCTCTCCGAATTCCAGCAAAGGCACGCGAGCACAAGATATCAAAAAGGTGAATGGCAAAAACAAAATGAGCGAGAAAAGCCGTCTGTGAACGAGAGTTTATGGTTGGAAAACTAACCTTACAGAAAAGCTGCCTTGCAGATTATTGCAAACTGTCTATTGTTTTCTGCTGCAGAAAATTTTAGGAAGACCACGGCTTAAAATGCGAGCACCGAGACGCTCTGAACCAGCTCTCAGAAGCTCTCATCAAGCTTCCATGATGCTACCTTTAGTGTGTAAATAGTGAACATAAACGTTGCTCTTATCAGCCCCGGCTACTCTGCTTGACTTCCACCTAAGACTTGGCTAGCTCCTTCGAACACATCACGAGCAAGCAAAAGGGCACGGAGTTGTAAAGATGAAAATGTGCAACATCACATCGCTTTTATTACGTGACATATTCGTTCTCCGCCGCATTCGCCCGATCGTGTCCACATATAACTTTCCCGTTTTATAGCGATGACACACCGTTGATTGCGGTCACGTCATTGAATGTCATTTAAACAGCGGTTGCATTATTTATTTGCAAATTACTTCTTCATAAAGTATGGTGAAGTAATTTATTATTTGGCCACCTGAGGAGCTTTCTAACTTGACTTATTTTTTTATCAAGACTTGAATATAATGTTAAGTTTTATTTGGTTGACTCTGAGCATTACCTTCGCAACAGAAGTACATCTGTCAGCGACAATCATTCTTAACCTTTTTCAGTGCCAGTAGGTCCGTTCAAGTTACGTGATGAAAACCAGTTTGCTGAACTATGTCATATATGACATGTCGCTCAGATGTCGGTCTCTGCATTTTTGATGAATCCAGCCGTCTTTTGTAAATTGTCTACTGGCAAGTTTTCTAAAATTTTGTTTTGTTCTTTTTAAAACTGGTGGTCTCAGACAAGCTTATTACGCCTCTTCTCACCACTGGATAGCCGTTGTTACGCGCGGCGCCTGGGCCGACGGGGGAGGGCCGCGTTCTTTGTTCATCAAACAAGTCACCGAAGGGCTGCCAGCCTGCTGTCCGCCGTGTACTGTCCATCTTAGCCGGGAAGTGAGGTGGCATTCCGACACCATAAGACGTTCGACGAGACGACCACAATGGTTTCTTGGTGTCACAGGTGCAGTGTGGTGGCCACGCCCCAATCAAAGACCTTGACTTGAGCGAGTGTGAGCGGCACCGTCAGAAATGGTGTGTGTGTCTCGCTATTCAACAGCGCATTCTGGACCCATTCATTGATTTAGTCAAAACACACACTTTATAGTGAGCCACCCAGCTCATTCGCAAGAGACCTCTCGCCCTGTCTGTACAGAATGTAATAAATACTCTGTTAAGTTTGTCATCTTACTCCTGAGTGCACATGCGTTTTATTTTCTGTCTCTCTACACGCCCTTTCTTGCCCCTATTTCTCAACCCTCGGTGCTAGGCAGCAAACCGGATGCCAAGATATGGTTAATCCCCCAGCCTTCCTTTCTCTCTCTTGCCATCTTACTGCCTTGGCATCTTCATCCCGGGTATCCAATGTCTTAAAAGGCCGGTACAAACAGACAAGTTAAAAAATAAAACAGATGGTGAATATTTTCTGCAGCATGTTCAGACGCTGCGTATAAGTGGTCATCCTCGAAAATTATCAACTTTAACACCGCGGACAGGTGCTGATATACCCTGAGTAGGTTCGATCATGTATTATGCCTCAACGCTTTTAATCTTCATTAAATTTCTCCCTTTTGATTTCATCCTTCGGGGTTTTGTGTAGTTCTTCATCTAACGCCTAACCTCCATGTCCTTCCTCATTTATTCCTCCTCCTCCCTTCATCTAACGCGCTGTTTTCGTGCTGCACTGCTACCACTTCATTTCTTCTTTATGTACGCCCTGTTTCGGGCACAATTATAGGCTGCCATCTTGGACTGATGATGATGCCGTTTTCCATCCGTATGAATATTCGAATTGTGCTATGGCGAACTCGCACGCATCAAAACGCTGGGCCATTACATTCAACGTCGTATCACCATAATCATAGTTAATTACGACACAAAAAACAGATAAATTGCTTCTAAGCCTAAGATGGAAGTGTCTATGTTTTACTGTAACTGTTACATTTATTTTTTGTTAATTTGTCCAATATGTCAGTTCATGCAGCGGCCGCCGAACTCGTAACGCTGTTCATAGTGGTACTCTCGGTCTCTGAAGCTGGATGAAGATAACTAAGAAGCCTGGTTTTTACTGGCTACATAAAATGTGAAACGAAGCTATAAATCACGATGAAAAAGAAGACAAATCTGTGAAAAGTCAGTACTGGCGCATAAATGCATAAATGGCGCGCCGATTGCACCGATGAAAAACGTCGGCGGTGGCGGCGGCGGCGCGCCGATCAGTTCGCGTCGGCGGCGGTGGCGCGGCGAAAACTATTGGCGGCGGCGCGCCGACCAGTCGGCGCACACCTCTAGCTACGACTTCTCTGATTGGCTTAAAAAGCCGCCCTTACAAAATTTGACAATATGGCGGAATTAGTGTCCAGAATAGCACTCCTGTTCTGTCTGAGGGAACTCTGCAGCTTCATATTAATATTGCAATAGCATATGCTCGCTCTTGAAAGCTGAGCTTGCCAAGCTAAAAAAAAAAACAAAACAAAAACGCCACATGTAAACGCTGCTCAAACGAAACTAGAACCATTTGCATCCCCCTAATATGGTTACCATGACGTGTTTCTGGCTTCACAAATTTAAACCATTTAAATAAAAATTCAGTCTTGGACCCTGTAATCAAACTTCCAACTTGCTACTGCAAAAATAACATTAGCATTAACTATTATTAGTTGCTTTTATTTTATGAGTTGTGGTTTTTGCACGAAACGTTTGCAACAATAGGCTACAGTAGTACGAAACTTTCTACTTGGAATGTTTTTACCGCAGTCGACCACAGTGGAAACAAAATAGCCAGCTGGCAACCATATCTACCTTTTTCTTTTTGGTGGTGTTTGGCAGCGTGGTGAGCGCGTTTCGTGCAAGAGATGGCTAAGAAAATAGTGATTTCGAAGAAAAAGGAGCATGGACAGGTAAGTATCTCTAAATTGGACTATGCACATGACGGTTTTATTACAATAATGCCTTCGACAGCCGCGTTACTTACATAATGGTCCCTCCAGCCGCGGTTCAGTTTTGTGAACGTGCTGCAAACATGTGATTCTGGTACGGCTTAGAAGTGTGGCAGCTTGGGCTGGTTGGTGTGACATGACGATAGTTATAGTGCGAGAACAGAACGACGACAAAAAGACAAGAAGGACACGAGCGCGCGTGTCCTCTTTGTCGTCGTTCTGTTCTCGCTCTACAACTATTGTCTGGTACGGCCAGTATCTTGTAAAACATGATTTAATTGTTTGCTTCATTATTGTGGTGTCGCATTCCTGTAAAGTTTAATGAATCGTGTAAACGGTGAGAATTGACGTTTACTATGTGTCTTATTTGTTTTGTTAGACCCGACAGGCGCCGCAGAAGGAGCAGAGACGTGGCGTTGTCTATGTCAGTCACATTCCGCATGGGTTCTACGAAGAAGAAATGAAAAAGTATTTCTCCCAGTTCGGCACTGTGACAAAGCTCAGGCTCTCACGAAGTGGAAAGGTAGGTTAAAGTTTTTTTTTAATTTCAATCCGCTGCTGTCGTCTAGACACTGTTTGTTGCTGTGGTGTTTGTGGCGCTTTTGTGTAGACCATCATCGCTTTTGCAAAGCAGTGCATACATAGCTGTTTGTTACCAGCTTTGATCCACGCCTCCATGGTAAGTGTAAACTGCTTGTCCCTGTCGGGGTTGGCTGTAACAACTAGTTGAACGGGATCTGAGATGCATATTTTTGTAAACTTCAGTGCTGAACATATAGATAGGTTGGCCGTAGGGTGGATCGTCAGCTGAGTTGAAACTCTAATGAATAACGTGAGTAAGGTGCTGTGAGATGTGATCAATCACCTGTGGCACATCGTTCAAAATATTCAGAAAAAATGAAGTGTGAACGCTGATTCTGTATACCATCTAGTATCGCAAGGGTAGTGCTGTATTCCAGAGTGACTGATGGATTGACAGTAATACGGCTACGGTTAAATAGGTTGCCCTTGTATTAAAGAAAAACATTTCCATCTTGCTTGAAGTTTCAAAAGAAATATTTTAAAGCTAGTGTAGCGTGGCAGCTGTACTCTAGCATGAGCTATGACAGCTAGAATTTCAGAGCTATGGTTATTACTGTTACCTATTCACTGTTTTACATTAACGTAGCCATGCTGTGATTGGTGAAATTATACAGTGAATTCCTTGGATTCTTTAGATGAAGCATGCCTAGTGAATGGCTGGTAAATATTGTGTTTAAGTTGCCTGTTGCATATTTAGATTCAAGGACCAAATTATTTGCACAAGAGCTGCAGTTCTGCACAATACTCGATCACATGAGTCTCCATTGTACTGATCTTTCTCCCTGTAGACTAAAAGAACTGCTGTAGGCAATTGCAGTGATTGAATGAAAAGCTTATTTGATAACTCTGAGTAGTAAAATCATTAAAAAAAAAAAAAAACATGGCTGATCCCTCTTTCTAAGAAACGTTATAACTTGAAAGTGAAATGTGTCTTCACTGAGGCATTTGAGCAATCATTGCGCATTGTTTCGTCACAAGGGCGAAGAGATGAATGCTGCAGCAGTAAATTGCAAAGTCAAGCGAAAAATGGCAAGCAGCTTGCAGCGCGCAGTTCAAGCAGGAAGCGTGCATGAAATGAGCGTATGCAGGACGAGTGCAGACTAACAACTGTTACAGCTGGACACCTAAAGCACGCTGTTAAAACAGAAAGATGCACAAAACAAATGCACAAGTATACACAGGACAAGCGTGCACAGCTGCCACAATTCTTACTGCTTCGTGTGCGAGCAGGATGCTCCTTTCATAAATGCGAAGTGAGGTTCGTGCTCTCAAGAATCACGAGTATGATGAGCGGGCACGCAGAAAAGACCACGCTCTGTGGAGCCCGCACTCGTCGAAACATGAGAGATAATGATCTTTAGTGCGCTCCCAATGCGAGCCCTTCGCGGTATCTCGCTACTGATGCCGAAAAACGCACTAACGCTGCAAAGGTCTGAGGACTGCCAAATGGTATATGGTGTATATAAATGGCTTGCCGTTTGCACGTTTGGCGATGAACACTCCATGTTTTATGGTTAGATCCGCGCACTGTCGAGCAAGAGGTCGTTGGTTCGACGCCTCGTGGCAGAACTTTTTCTTCTAGTTTTTTTTTTGCTTAGAAATTTGTATATATTTTACTACGTCATACCCGTGACGCAAATACTTCCGTGGAGCTGTGGTGGACCCCAGGATAAAACGCTTTCATGTTAGTAAAATAGTAACAAAACTGTTCAATACATATCTGAAATTGGGAACGTTTGTGCACATTTCATAATGAAACATAAGCCACTGATACAAAATGTGCGTTGATGTCACCGTGTCCGCCATATCAGGGCACCTGCTGGTGGAGGTGCCACGTACACTCTTACTAGAATACATAGAGCAAGAAACTGTGAAATCAGTAGTGTCAGTGTCCCTCGCGTTTCTTTGTGTTCACTCTTGGCGCCGCTGGTGAACAGAAAAAAAAAAAAAAAAAACGGGGGCAGGGGGGGGGGGGGCACAAAAAAATGTGAACGACTGCGTGTCCTCTCCTGCACTCGCCCTCTCTAATGAGATAAAAAGTCATGGTGACCGTTATGTCTGGGTACCCAGAGCCGAGAACTGGTCTGCGACGTCACAGGGACACTATGTATAAAGAATTCATTGGGTGACTTGCCAATCACTTTATAGTCAGATAAAACTTAAGAAGTCGAGAAGACGCCTCACCCAGACGACTGAAGCGCAAGCCAATGATCACCTTCGCGAGTAACAAAATAGTCCCACACCGTGCACTTGGCAATGTTCTCCAAAAGAGGGGCCATCGGCCCTCTGACTCATGACGTCAATCTGAAGTATGCGCCCATTGGTATAGGCATGTATGCATCTGCCTTTGAAGAGCAACACACCGCTGACTTCTAAAGCTGTATCCGACTGACTATAGATTGGTCAACTTCAATGTTTGAAGAAGCTGGCAGATTTATGGACTGTCATTGACAATTTGCTTTTTGTTTCTATTGTCTGGGCCCTCGCCTTAGTTTACTCACTGCACGTTAACGAGAAAACTGTCTGCAAAAAAATTAAAAAGTTGAACTTTATGTTCAAATACTTTTGTGCCTCCTCATTTATTTTCATGTGAAGACTGGCGGCAGCCGTGGCTATGCATTCATTGAGTTCCTGTCTGAAGATGTTGCCAAGATTGTGGCTGACACCATGGATGGGTATCTCTTCTTCAACAAAATAATGAAATGTGAGTAAATTTTTTGAGGCTATACTAAATGAAAATTCTGCTTTTTATCAAACATAGAATCCATGAAGAGAGGTTAGATTTACAATGCTTTCTACAGCCGGACATCTCTAAAGCAGTTTAAAAATAACGTTGATTAACCTATATCAACTACACAGCTGCAGTGAAAAACACTAGATTTTTGTTTTTGTTGCAAAGCTTATATTTTCACTACACTCATTTAATCTTCAATGAAGCAGCTAGAAGCACTAAAAAATATATTGAGAATCATTTTAGCGCTCCAAACTGCTGCTCTTCACAACACTGACTTGTTTCACTGGTCCAGCAGCACAGTGTGTGAAGTGAACTCACGTGGACATGTGTTTTTCGTGTCCTGTTTGGAGAAGCTTATTGCTGTGCGTTTGCTGACACACGTTCTTGCAATGGTAGAGGCATCTAACAGAAAATTGGAGCTGTGTGAATATAATAAACTTATGAGTGCTGAGTGAATTATAATAAGATAGTCTTGAGTGCAAATAGAAAAATCCTTTAATACTGCAAACTTACATTATAAAAAAAAAAAAAGGTTGAAAAGAATAATTAAGCATGTTTTTACATGGTGGAAAGGTGAAATTTTTTTTTTTTGCTAGGTTCTCGAAACACTGGAGGGGGGATTTATTGTAGGTTTCCTGAGGAAAAGGAGGAAAAAATGCGTTGGCTGAAGTGCGTTTATTTTAACGGCTTCGTAGAACCAAAGCAATGTCGACAGCACGTTACACGTTGGAGTGGACGTCACTGTCTGTGGAAAAGGTCGCTTGTTTTCCTGTGAATGGCTTCTGTGGACGCTGGATCAGTGCGAGTGTGCAAGAAATAAAACTGTTTTTCCAATACCGCATTTTCAGTTTATGTAGCCCTATTTATGTCGGATTTCATAACATACTCACTAGCAGTGGGCGAATATTTGAGCCTTCGAATATTTTGATAGCAGGCCTTTAGTGGTGAACTGTAGGCACATTTATCAGAGAAATGGCAGAGCTAAAACCGACTAGCTGTCAAGCAGAGTTAGCGCGAGCAGCAACAACAGTCTTCATCCTCTTGTTTCGCTGTCACTCCTGTTCGTTCCATATATTCATGCTACAATTTATTTTTAATAGTGTTCGTTATTTGATTTTGCACTGGAATTTTACCATTTCAAGTATTGGAACTTCCAGAAAACAAATAAATCGGCGTGCAGTGGGCTTGGTCTTGCGTTTTGGGGTGCCAATGGGCAAAACTGCTAACCGCTTCCAGTGGTGCTCTGAATGGTTGCTGCATGTCATGATGCATGATGTGCTGGGTCAGGGGGCTCTGCTGCGGAGCCAGCGGGCGATGCTATTGCTCTGCTGCATCAAGTGATGTAAAGCCGAGTTCGAGTCCCTAATTTAGGCAGAGCTCTTTGGAGGAACAGTATTTGATGCATGGCTGTTGTTACAGGCAGGGTGATACCGAGGGAGCACGTGCACGAGGGTCTGTTCCGGCACTTCCGCTACCCGTTCCCTTTGCGCAAGGAAGTGGTGCGCACCGTCCACAACCGCCGCCGCACAGCCGAGTCGGAGAAGCGCAGTGCCCGTCGCCGCTTGGCCACTCTGGAGCGAACAAAGGCCCAGCTGCGCAAGATGGGTGTAAACTGTGACTTCGTTCCTGAGGTAAGCGATCCTCTGCCTCCTCCTACTCTCTTCACTTTTCTTGTGGTTCGGACATGTTCGATTACTATTCGGTCAATTGGGATTTGTTTCTTTCAGTATTTATGGGCCCGTTAAACAATTTTTGAACATGGTCAGGAAATACTGCTGATTTGTAGTCGAGACTACTGAGAACATGCGAGCCAAAGACAGTCGCCGACTGTTTGGACACTGCAAATTCAGACATGCTCGTTTATTCTACCAGCTTTGTGGTACCGCCACAGATCTTTTTGAAGTAATGTAAACATGTGACTGAAAATTGAGACTCCCCACAGTGCGTCATTTGATTCTTTGGACTCCGGCTGGCTGATCGAGTGCAACATCGAATTCCCGACACACTGTCAGTGATATTTAATATACATTTTTGCAGGGCTACCAGCACTGCATGTGTGCACTCGCTATGACTGTATGGCATGCCATTGTCCAAATTGCACAAATTACGATTGCCAATTTCGAAGGCTGTGTTTGTCAATTAAATGTTGTGGTTGTTTTTTGGCTTTTGCCAATAAGGAAATTATCGAATAAGTCGCAGGCAAAGCTAAGCCACGCTTGGAACCAGCTTGGTGTGGTGTGTGCACAGGAAGGCATTTGTTGAGACGCGTCACTCGGCAGAGCTGCACAAGTGAACAACTCGCGTCCCAAACAACAACTGACTTTTATTATCACCCTTCCTCTCGAAGATAACTTTCTCGTGCGGGCGCATGCGCTCTCTGCACCGCACACAGAAGCACCGCTTTGCGTCGCCACAGTACTCCCCCCCTAGTGAGTGCGCGCACAACGGCCGCACTCGGACGACCCACTGCGGTTCATAAGTTCATGCCCACCGGGGGTGTCGTACACCGTCCACTCCGCGTAAACCGTTTGAGGACTCGTTGGGGCTGCGCTACGTGGTCTGCCGGGGGTGCCTGCGAAGATGGAGCTCGAGGTGGTGCAGGTGCTTCGCTGTCAGAGTCCACGTGTGCCGATTTTACGCGGTCTAGAGAAACCACGTCGTGACGACCACCTCTGTCGATTGTAATGTGCTTGTCTGCCCGTCGCAGCACCTTGAAAGGCCCGTCGTACGGGGACCGGAGTGGAGGCTGTACGGCGTCGTGCCTCACAAACACGTGAGAGCAGGAGGAAAGTTCCCGGTCCACGTAGACTGGCCGGGCTGCAAGCGGACGCGGAGGAACAGCGCGTAGCTTGCTCATGATGTCTCGCAGTCGCACGGCGTAGTCCGCGTACGCGTACACGTTTTCGTCCTTACTGGTAGTGAAAAACTCCCCTGGGAGGCGAAGCGTTGTTCCGTACACCAGTTCAGCGGAGCAGCATCCAATATCTGCTTTCAAAGCCGTCCTAACGCCCAACAGAACAAAGGGCAGTGCCTCTACCCAACTGTGACTCGCAGTAGCGGTCAGGCTCGTCTTCAGCTGGCGATGGAACCTTTCCACTATACCGTTGCTTATCGGATGGTAGGCAGTTGTTCTGATGCGGTGAGTACCCAAGAGCCGGGTGACGCTTGCGAACAGGGCGGACTCAAACTGTGTTCCGCGATCCGTAGTCACGGTTGCCGGCACTTCGAAGCGGGCCACCCAGTGGAAGATAAATGCACGGGCGACGGTATCAGAAGTCATGTCTGGAATGGGCACGGCCTCCGGCCATCGCGTGAAGCGATCGATGCAGGTTAGCAAGTAGCTTTGCCCCTGGCACAACGGCAGTGGTCCCACAATGTCAACATGCACATGGGCAAATCGACAGTCCGGCAGAGGGAAGGATCCCAAGGGGGTCACAGTATGTCGCTGAACTTTGGAGCGCTGGCATGCGATGCACTCTCGTGTCCAGTATCGGACATCCCGGTTTATTCCTGGCCACACGAACCTCGCTGTGCATAGCTGTTGCGTGGCTCAAATCTCGGGATGCGCCAGGCTGTGCAGCAAGTCAAAAATGCTGCGACGGAGGTTCGAGGGGACGAACGGTCGGGCCTTGCCTGTAGACATGTCGCAGCATACGGATCCTGTGGGTTGTGCCAACCATTGCAGCTTCAAGGCGCTGGTTGAAGACGTCATTAGACGCTTCAATTCTCCATCGTTGCGTTGAGCCGTCGTAAGTGTGGTGAAGTCCACGCCGCTTGGCAGGCTGATGGCATTCACTGGACCGCGCGAAAGAGCGTCGGCAGCAGCATTATCCGTGCCACTAACATGGCGTATATCTGTCGTGAATTCTGCGATGTACGACATTTGGCGGAGCTCCCGTGCCAAGTGCGCACCTTGCCTTAGATCCAGATGCCTTAGTTGCCTTAGATCCAGATGCCGCAAGTAGGCTGTGGAGAGGGTGAAGGATGTTGGCGCATTTCGGGATAAACCTGCGGTAGAAATTCACGAGTCCCAGGAACTCTCGAAGCTGGCGGAGGTTTTTCGGCTGTGGAAACAGCCGTACTGCTTCCACCTTGTCCTTCTGGGGCTGTACTTCGGCACTTGAAATGCTGTGGCCCAAAAATGATAGTGTCAGTACCCCAAACACGCACTTTGCCGTATTGATAACGATGCCGTTCTCTGTCAGTCGCTGAAGTACGTAGCGCAGATGCCGCTCGTGCTCTTCAGGAGTGCTGCTAGCAATCAGAAGATCATCGAGGTATACCTTGCAAAAGTCGAGGCCACGGACAACGCCATCCATAAACCGTTGAAAAGTTTGGCCGGCGTTGCGTAAGCCGAAAGGCATGCGTAGGAACTCGAACATTCCGAACGGCGTTGTTATTGCGGTCTTGGGGATATCCTCCGGTGCTACGGGTATCTGATGATATGCTTGCACTAGATCTATTTTAGAGAAAATGGTAGCACCATGCAGGAAAGAAGTCATGTCATGAATGTGTGGGACTGGGTAACGGTCTGGCACGGTTACCTGGTTCAGCGCTCGATAGTCCCCGCAAGGGCGCCAATCACCGTCTGTTGATTTTGGGACCATGTGAAGAGGTGACGCTTATGGGCTGGATGAAGGACGTACTATCCTGAGTTCCATCATGTGGGCAAACGCCTGTCGAGCCAACCGCAGCTTTTCGGGTGACAGGCGCCGTGGTCGCGCATAGACCGGTGGGCCTGTGGTTTCGATGTGATGCAGGACGCCGTGCTTTACTTCTGGAAATGCCTGTGGCTGTCGTGTCAGCTCTGGAAACTCTTGTAGTATTGCGGTGAAGTACGCTTCTCCAGCCGGACTAAGCAAGGCCGGGCTGATAGGGGGGTGCCGACACGGCGTGCTGTGTACCGCTCCCCGAGAAACGGGATCTTGAAGCCGTTTGTTGCGGACGTCGACCAACAGACCGAAGAACTGGAGAAAGTCTGCGCCTAGTATGGCGAATTTGACATCAGCAGCTATGAACACCCAGCTAAACGTTCTGCCAAAACCGAAGTTCAGCGACAGTGAACGATGGCCATATGTTGTTATCACCATGTTATTGACAGCTTGCAAGGGCGATGTACTAGGTTTCTTTCTTTCAGCTTGTGACGCCGGTATAACGCTCACCTCGGCGCCTGTGTCCACTAAGAAACGTACTCCGTTGTTGCGGTCGGTAATAAAAAATACTGAGGGACGACTTGGAGGCAGCGTAGTAGCACTGGTCACCCTCAGTGCCTGCCGCGGCTGTTTCCCGAGTGCGCGCACGGTGGGACACATTTACGCGCACTACTTCCGAACCTCCGATGATACCAGCAGATATGCTCGTGCTGCTCTTGCGATAGCGGCGTGTTAGGCTCGGTTATCGTTTGCGCCCTCCTGCTAGCGTGCAAAGCTGATACTGTTTCGGCAAGTCGAGCAATCTCCTCACGCATCTGTTGAAGTTCGTTTAGAGGCTGTTGCGCTTGCACGGCAGCCATGGGTGTGGGCGGTGTCATTGCTACCAGTTTGTCAGCGAGTGGCGGCTGCAGTTAAATCCTTGTGCTCTGAGGCCGCGATGACCATGCGGACGCCTGAAGGCAACTTTTGCAAAAAAAAGTTCTCGGAGCAATACTCCATCTATCGTGTTTGATGTTCCGCCAAGCAACTGTTGCATGTGCCGCAAAAGCTGACTAGGAGTACGGTCGCCGAGTTCCGTGCCGCGAAGCAATTGCTGCAGTCGTTGTGGTTCGGAGGGCGTAACTCGGCGAATAAGGGTTTCTTTTAGCGTTGCATATGCGTTTTCGACAGGTGTTGCGAGCAACAGATCCCTGATTTCACTGGCTATGGTGGGCGGCAGACTGCTGACTACGTAGTGGTATTTCGTAAGGTCTGCGGTGATTCGTCTGGCTGCAAACTGACATTCCACTTGTATGAACCAAAGTGCGGGGTCCGCAGTCCAAAAAGGGGGCAGCTTACCGTCGACTGAGGAGACTGTCGGAGGGGCGTCGGTCGTGGACGTTGAATCCATATTGCGGCTGGTTCGACACTCCGGTCGCTGTGTCTGTATTCCGAGTCCGGGTAGCCAATGTTGAGACACGTCGCTCGGCAGAGCTGCGCAAGTAAACAACTCGCGTCCCAAACAACAACTGACTTTTATTATCACCCTTCCTCTCGAAGATAACTTTCTCGTGCGGGCGCATGCGCTCTCTGCACCGCACACAGAAGCACCGCTTTGCGTCGCCACACATTTGAGGCTTCGCATTGTATGCAGCATCAGTTGTTTCTGTGGCTAGGCTCGATCTGTGTCCCGTGCCTTTTGTCTCGCTCTCTTTTTTGTTGCTCGGTGTGCGAGGCCTGATCTGCTGAAGTGGCTCCGGCAGCACTTGTTCCATCTGCGCTTTTAAAACCAGTGAAAAAATGTCGCAACTATAAGATGCGGATGACGGCATAAAATGCACCACTTACTTGCATGGTGGAGGGCAGCTCACCTCAATTCGAAACTGCTTGGCACTTGCTGCTGCAGCAAATGTAGATAGTATCATACATCAGGCCCTCGAACCAGCTCAGGTGGACAGTACAGTAAAAGCTCGTAAATTCGAATTTCATGGGGATGCTGA